GAGTGGGGGAGATGGGGTCACGGAGTTTGGTGCAGAGTTCTGGATTATCTGCAGCCTGTGGGGGGAGGAGTTGGGAAGGCCGACACGCAGGGGGTTTGCAGTCGAGCCGGAGGTGATGAAGGCATAAACAGGAGTTTCAGTGGCCTGAGGGGTGAGGTAGTGGTGGAGTTGGGCGATGTTACGGAGGTGAGGGAAGGCAGAGCGGGTCATGGCCTGAATGTGGGGAAGAAAAGACAGTTGAGGGTTGAACAAGACCCCCAGGTTCCTGACTGACTGGTGAGCTGTAGTGTACACCATGGAGGGCGATGCTGCCGGAGCCTGAGGTGCTGAGGCGCTGCCGTGAGCCGATCAGGAGGGCCTCAGTCTTGTTCACATTCAACTGTAGGAAGTTTGCCCTCATCCAGGACTTGATGTCCCACAGACAGTGTCAGGACAGCAGTGGCCCTGGAGTTGAGGGTGGGGGCAGAGAGATAGAGTTGGGTGTAAATACATAAATAAATACGGTCGTCATATTTACAGCAAGAAACGAGTTATCAGGAGTTTACTGTCATTTCTGGAATTAGATAAGCAGGATGGGTCTCTCCAGGGAGGAAGTGTGCATTCCATTCCATTACAGGGGAATTTCCATGCAGAGGTAGGATGTGTGGATCACTGGCTTGATTACTGTTAAGCATAGTGATGAGATTCTGATGTGTCAGAAAACTAACTGGCTGATCAAAAAGTCTGTGTGTGTGTGTGTATACGTGTGCCTCTCTCCCGCTTTCATTGCTCTAACTTTCCGTCCCGCTCTGTCTGCAATATATCTCTAATTCTAAACTAGAAGTATCACTACTTGCCTTCACTACCGGTAAGCAAAAATACTGTGGTGCGCATGTGAGAAATTGGGCACATTTGCATGAGAGTGCGAGTATTGCAACATAGTCGGTGAGAGCAATTTTACTCACAGCTTCACACATGCACACAACAGTATTTTTTTTTCTGGCATTTTGTGGTCAAATCCAATTTCACCTCGGAGCTCTATATAAATGAACGGACATAGAGCATTGATAACTGGTGTGCGAGAGTATTTAACCCGTAGAGTTAATAGCAGGACTCCAGTTTCATTTAAAAAAATATTGGATTCTGTTTCCAAAATGACAATTCTTGCTGAAGTACAGTATATCCTTTCAGTGTCTGATACGACGTCCTCTCCTTGTCGAACATACCCCCAATTTACAATTAAATTGGCTACTCATCTTGTTTATGAGTTTTACCATATTTACCCATTTATAATCGGTTGCATATTATAAAACGCATTAAAAAATTTATTTTTATGACGGAGGTACATTTACCATTTGGTTATATTAATAACATTCACTTTGTATGTTCAATGGTGACTTTTCAGACTGTTGCTCTTTCACTAAAAGAGAATCTTATAATTCACTCACACCTACTCCATGTTGTAGGACACAACCATCTGTAACAATGTTATACAGAGCTGCTAACTCTGCACTGTGTAGATACCGTATCAAGTTACCAATGGTCTGCTTGAGCAAGGAGGTAACTGGCATGCAAATTTAACTAAATGTATAGAATACTTGGGAGTCCTGTAGGGTAGTGGTTAGAGCACTCACCTCTCAACCAAGAGGACCTGGGTTCAGTTCCTGGGCAGGGCATAGGCAAGTTTCCTTACTCCACACACCTCTGTTTACCTTTAGCAGTAAGTAGGAACCCGGTTGTTAGTTGATTGCCAAATCACTTTCCAGGGCTAGTAATCCCTTTAAAAAGTGTGTGTGTATATATATATATATATATGACCCCTGGTCACTCAATCCATGACTATTTGTGGGACACAATTGGCTGCCGCGTTTCGAACACAAAATACACAGTCAATTCACTTTAAAATATATTCTTTGAAGCATTTTGAGATGTCTCAACGACGTGATAAGGCGCTATATCAAAGACGAGGATTATTATTATAGAATGGAGTTCAGTGGAATGTGTGTCCGAATCTGGGATCTTCCTTGCTATGACTATTTCATCCTGGGCAGTGGAGTTGTGCCTTTAATATAAACTAAATGTTTTGAAACAAATTACACTTATGTAGCTCTTTAAACATAAGACAGCAAGCTTTTAAGATGAGACTTGCCCCATTGTGTGGCTACATACTGTTTTTTTGTAGCTTTTCTTCAGTCTATTAAATTATTTGTGAAATCTTTAATCATCAAAGGTGTTGAGTATTTTTCACCTCTTTTTGCCCTCCTCCCACACTTTTTATGTTAGTGCGTGGGCAGCGTGTTTCTTTGACTGTTTTGGGAGGTAGATAGAAGAAAAGGGTGTGTTGCTGGCATTCATTTCAATTCCATTTAACATTTGGAGGGATCGTCCATACACGCTCGCTTACTCGTTTATTCTGTAGGAAAACCCAACAGACCTGGCAAAGATTCCCGATATTATTTATTGAGCAGTATGGATTTTTTTTATTAAAGAAATATTCAAGACTATGTGATCTACCTCTGTGAGGTTCACAAAGATATTTTGTTGCTGTTTGTGGTCACTTCACTTTGCAGTATGAAGCGCTTTGAGAAGTCCTCCTGACATGACTGGCCCTATATAATGCATGGAGTATTATTAACCATTGACACAGACTGCAGATCTGTGTCAGTATTGTCTACATTGAGCAAGCTGATATCTCCTTATCTACAAAAGCCCAATTACGGGTTCTGTGGTTTTAGAGCACAACTAATTGCACTTGTGTCCCCTGCCCTACCTGCCACTACGATTGGGAGGCAAGCTTGCACCCTTTCTGTCCCCAGTCTGGAATTAAATTCCCAAATCCCTCCCACTTGCTCCCTCCCTCACCTCGATCAAGGTCCATCTCAAGACAAAGTCTGTGTGCCTTGGTCATTTTTCCTCTCTCCACCCCCAACTCAGATGCCAAACCAGTAATGTCAAGACCCTTAGAAAGTCCTTCTGACATGAAAAGTGCTCGCAACATAAGAACTCTGCAGTTCGTGTTCTCTTCCACACCAGGCTCTGGGAACCTATCACTCCCATTCTTGCCCGGCTTCACTGGTTCCACATTCCTCAGAGAATCGAGTACAAAACATTCGTTCTTACCTTCAAGGCCCTTCACGGTCTTGCCCTCCCTACCTCTCCGACCTCATAATCCCATATCAGCCTCTCCGCTCACCGAACGGTACCCATGCTTCCCACCATTGGCGGTCAGGCATTCAGCATTTCTGCTGCCACACTCTGGAACACTTTCCCGCAATCCCTTTGACTCACCCCTTCCCTTGCCTCCTTCAAGTCCTGTCTGAAGACCTTTCTCTTCGATCATGCCTTCGGCCACCTGCCCATCCCCACCCCCCTACCCCCCTCCCCTTCTGACCCCATCTCCCAGCTCAGGTCCAAAACCCCTGATTGTCCAGCATCCTGGCACGTATTTCCGACGTAAAGGGTGGTATACAGTGTAATTTGTTGTTGTTGTGTACATTTGAATTGTATTTCATGGGAATTGGTCTGGGGTAGCCAAACCATACAGCCACGACCCACATGGCTCATGAAGGGTCTCTGTGTGGCTCACAGCCACCTAAGCTTCAGCAGAAAGCATGTGTCTCGATAATTCCTGCTGACAGTTTGCTTACAGAGACGTTTGCATGACTATTTAAACGCGTTGTACGAATGTGGTAAAAAAAATTCTCCAGTCAGCCTTTTTGAATATTCAATGGAAATAGTCATCTAAAGTAATACAGTACTTGTCTGAAAGAATGATAATAATCCTTGCATTTGATATAGCGCATTATCATGTCTTCACAATATATTGATTGTATTTTGCAGATGAAATAATTGAATGAAAAATGTACACTCAATTGATGCATTTTTTGAGTGATGTTATAATGATTTGTATATTAAACACAATTCCCACAAACTGTTTTCCACGTGTTTAAATTAATATAACTTAAACCTCATGAAGTCTTCAGTCTTTTCGTATGTAAATGCGAATCAGTGAGACACTCATACTCCTGGGCACTGATGGTGATGTCACAGCAGCCTGGCTCATTGCCAGGACGCGGAAGGGCTCACCTGCCTCTGAGGGCAGGGAATCCTCCCACTCAGCGCCTGTTAACGGAGTTCATGTTAGGTGGTCCTAACTGGAGAAGCACAGCTTGCCATTGATATTGCCAGACAGCGATATCAAGGGCAAGCTATGTGGTTTTAGCTGGTTAGACTCCACACTCTCGGGTCCCCAAGCCTTGGCTTTTGCCAACCTGCCCCTAATACTATTTAAAAAATCAAATACTAATAACTTACACGTGAAACTGTACAAGCCCCATTGGCTTGGTTACAAAATTACATTTGAAAATTATCAAATTATTATAATCGCTGTGTGAATTCAGTGAATATTCGAAAGTGCCTAGTTTTTCTGAATTACCTTTACATATATGCAATTTTTTGGTTGTATAATTCCATTATGACTATGTTGTTGGTTGTGTATGTCTTTAATTCATGTCATATGTATGTGCGGTGGGACCATTTCAAAGCTGTGGGTTTTGGAGTGTTTGGTTTTCAAAGTTAACGTTGGATTCGTTAGCGCAAAGTTTGCTCAAATTTGTGGAGCAGAAGATGCTTCAGTAACTGCTTTGACTAGTTACTGGCTTTCTTTACATTTGACTTCTTAGTCAAATTAGCCTTAGCCTCTTTCAAGTCCCGCCTCAAGACCCTCCTCTTCGACCATGCCATCGGCCACCCCCCTTCCTCTCCCCTCCCTTACTCCCCCAACCCCAGCTTGGGTCTGAAATGCTGTACTCTGTCCAGCGCCTTGGGAGGTCCTCCCAACGTGAAAGGCGCTATACAAATGTAATCTTGTTGTTGACTTATTTGGTGGAAGTAAAGTTGTTGAGCTCCAGTTAGCTTTACACCTTTTGGGGATGACATCATTTTATGATTAATTCAGCAGTGACAGGGGTTCAGGTTGATGTGCACTGATCAAAGCCTTATTATGCCATTTTACTTTTCAGGTCACTGATAAAGGGCTCTGGGCAGACTTGTTGGAGGAGTTTAACTTTCCAAAAGGTTGCGCCAATGCAGCGTTTGCTCTGAAGCAGTACTACCTGAGGTGAGTGATAACAGCAAAGATCTAATTGCTTGCTCTTGTGCAGACTAAAGCACATAGAAAATTCATTGTCTGGTGACACTACTGCATCGCTGAAAAAATTGTGTGCTTTCATCTTTATTTGTTCATGATCTAGAATAGAAGCCTGTATTTTTTTAACTTTTTTAACGTTTTGCAGCAAAATACATGGCTTCATTTGATAAATACTGTAAAGGTTTAATTCCTCCAGTTGTTTGCTTAATCTTAGAAACTTATGGAGAATCCTGCAGACCATCCCGATGAATGTTTTGAAATCTGCCAAGGACTTCTATTAAAACTAATTAGAGCGTGCACTGAAATGTTAAAGGGGCACAGCCTCAGGGACTGCACCTTCTGTCTGCGCAATCATTCTGGTCTTTTTAAAGTCAGATGGTGCAGAAAATATAGTGAGGCACCAAAGGCCATTGAGAAAGCAAACCTTTGAGAAAGCAGTTTTTGAAGAAAAAATGATTTTACAACAACAACTTGCATTTATATCGCGCCCCTCACACAGGGGAGCGTCCCAGAGCGCTTGACAGTGGCGGAGCAAATGTACCAATTTTCCTGGACTTCCTGCAGAAATTGTGATTCATTGGCATGATGTGTGAGTATTGTTTGTCATTCTGCTCGCACACTTAACTTTCCAGGCTTAATTCTGATTTAAAATTTAAACGCCTCAATGGCATGGTCCCTTTTAAAAGTCAAGCACATATAAATAGACTTTATTTTTCACATGATTTCAGCCTTTTTTTCTTGACTTTTTATGTTTGTTCAAGCAGTGATTTCTGTGTCCCCTGGCAAATTGGGTTTAAAGTTATGATTTGTACAAAACTTGTCTGGTTTAATCTAAGTTCCCTATTTTTCCTCTACTTTTGCTTTTGAGTTTGCCTGCTCTGTTTGACTGTGCCATGCTAAATCTAGCGTTTAACTTGATACTCCACTGGGGAGGAGTTCACAAACCTGATTTCAGTCAGGGTGCTGAATTCACACAAGTCAATAGTCATCAATTTTGCATTAATTTTAACACTATTTGTTATTTTTGCTGCCTGAACCTGGAGAGTTCAGTCATTCCTTCTAGACAGTTTTCTTGATTTTTTTAAGATGTGATAAATATTCAGGAAATCCAGAAATAGCCTGGTTTGGGCAAAAAATGAAAGAACAAAAAAGATGTTAATTTGTAATCTACATCTTCCCCTCTACTCTTGTTATCTCGTGGCACTGCACGTCCTGGCATTTGCTAGTCTCACTCTTGAAAACAGCCGTCTGTCTGTTTAGGTGGATGTTAAAGGTTTCCTGGTACTATTCAAAAAAAAAGAGAAGGTAGTGTCTCCAGTGTTCTAGTCAACAGTTTTCCAGATAAATTAGTCATTCACCTCATGGCAGTTTGTAGGATTTTGCCTTGTGCATAATGGCTGCAGTGTTTGGCTAAAAAAGCAGTCACTGCACCTGACCGTAATTAATGTACTAATAATAATCCTTATATTCGATATAGCACCTTATCACGTCTTCGAGACACCACAGAAAGCTTTACAGAATGTGCTGTAAAGTAAATTGACTGTATATGCAAGGATTATTATTAAAGGAAAATATTTTTGAGATGTTTCACCATTGTAGGTGCTTTAAAAAGTTCTTACAGTTCTTTCAAAAAGATCCTGGGGGATTTTCCCTTTTGAAATATTCTTCTTTTCTGCCTTCCCATTCATACAGACCTTAAGTAATGTATGCGGCTCATGCTTGTTTCCCCCAATGGCTAAGATATGAAACATACTTGATAGAAAATCGGGACATAAGTTCATGTTTGCTCACCTTTGACCTTACATAACAACAGCAACAACAACGAACAGCAAGAAATTGCATTTACACAACGCCTTTCACTTTGGGAAGAACGTCCCAGTCTAGGACAGTCTAGGGTTTACATCTGATCTGGGGGTTGATTTGGGAGGGGTGGGGGCCAAGAGGGACGGGAGTGGGAAGATGACTGAATGCACAGTCAGAGGAAGGTCTTGAAACAAATCTTGAAGGACGTGATGGAAAGGGTGAGCAAAGGAACTCTGGGATGGAGTTCCAAAGAGTGGGAGCAGAAAGACTGAAGGCCAACCACTGATGGTGGAGCAAGCAGGGCGTGTAGCTAGCCGGTTTCAGTCAGTGGGTCAGTTATTATCAGTCACTGTCGAGCAGTGGGAGCGGCGCATTAGTAGGCTTTAATCAGAAATTAATACCAAAGCAGCTGATGGGAGACCCGATAATGATTTCCTTTTCAAAGTGTGGTCACAGCTGGTCTCTAGTGTGCTTTTCAGATCTGTGGCGGCAGTCCATCCATCTCTACAAACACACAATAGAAGTGTAAGTTTTGCTTTGATGTTACTTTTGTTCCTCTCTTGTATATGTAAGTTTTATGAGAGTAAAGAGATCAGCCAAAAACAGATGTCAAAAAAGCCTATCAATGCAAGCAAGCAAATTCCAGCTACAAACAGGATAACAGTCCTTTAACAATTAGCAAAATGTATTCAGCTTTGGGTGCTTTTTACATCCAATATCAGGATTGTTATCGGATTGGGCTGGAGCACACTAGGTGGGTGGGCAGATGTTAGAGGAATCTAAAGGGCCAGGGAAGAATTGAATGGGGCCCTTAGTGGCCTCTCATCATAGGGAAAATGAGGAGCAAATAATTAGTTAAAACAAACCATAGACTTCTATCATTAGGGAAGGGGGAGGTGATGGAAGGTGTTCAGTAAGACATTGATTCATAGAAATGACAGCTCAGAAACAGGCCATGTGGCACATCCAGGCTGCTCGAGTGGCTGTCCTAGATCCTATCCTAGTCCCATATTTCAACCCTTGCCATATCCCTCAGCTTTATTCTCCCTCAACCACGTGTCTGTCTAGTCTTGTTTTGACTGTGCACATAGTTGCGACTCAGAGAATTCCATACTCCCATTTGTTCTTCCTCATCTCTGTTCCTGACCTGCCAGTCATGACTTTCAAATTATACCCTCTAGTTCTAGACACCCTGAACACTGGAAATATTTCCCTGTGCACCCTATGTAAGCCTCCCATCATCTTATATACCTGCCATATCCCTTCTCAACTCCCCGAGTTCCAAAGAAGAAAGCCCCAGTTAAGTTTAGGTGTTTACAGACACAACACACTGTTAAATTTCCCCCCCACCACACCTACATGTACCTGTCCTCTGCAGGATGTTAACGATCCCATGATGTTTTTCCAAAAAAGAATGGAGTTTCCAGTGCCCAGGAACACATTTGTCCAGATTAATTGGTTATTCACCTCATGGCTGTTTGTGTGATCTTGCTATGATCTACTGCCATATTTTTCTATTAAAATGGTCACTACATGTGAAAATTACTGTGTGGTGAATAAGGTGCTATTAGGATGTAAATTCAAAACAAAACCTCTTTTAAAAGCAGTTCAATAAAAATTATAATTGTGAAATTACCATATCTTTACAAACTGGAGGATCAAGAGCTATCTACAGAGTTCATCTCTTCCTGGAAATCCATTGTGAGGTTTCTGGTTGCTGTAGGAAGTGGTGGATTTCATGTTAACCAGAATCGCTGCCTCAAGTGAAAAGGAATCACGCAAGAGAGGAAAGTGAAAGTTTAAAGTTTAAAGAAATCAAAGAAACAGCTGATGAATGGGGTGACTGGAGATGGCAGTAGAAGGCAGGAGAAAAGAGAGAGAAACAGAGGAATGAAAATATAGGGTAGGGTTCTGGATAGATCTAAATTAAAAATAAGGTTCATTCTTGGGTTCAGCTGGTTCAGGTCACCTTCTGAGATGTGACTACATGTTTGATGGTGTCAGCGGAAATTAGTCTTCATGCCTACGGTCACCACCGTGTTGTGTTACTCAGTGTTGTGCACCACCACTGTCTAGCGCTCTGGGACCCTATCCTGCATGAGGGGCACTATGTAAACGCAGGTTGTTGTTCATTTTCAGGTTCATTACTGTTAAGGACGCATTAAGGACAGACGCTATGTCTTTACACAAGAGTATGTTCAACAGCTGGAATATGTTACCAGGAAGGGTGGTTGTTGCCAGGATACTGGAATTATATGAAACTGCTTGTTGCTGAAATGGAAAGATGGCAGGGTAGGCATTCTTGTGGATAATGTCAAATAAGCCAAAAAAGGCTTTTTTCACCTCATTTCTCTTGTGATTTCAATAACGGAGTGATATAGCCAGAAAACAGGCCTTTTGACCAATCTGGTCCATGCCAGTGCTTGTAGTAAAGCAACAACAACAAAATTATATTTATAGAGCACCTTTCACGTCAGGGGGACATCCCAAAACGTTCGGCAAAAGCACCCACCTTCATATCGGGGAATTGCCCCCTACTGCTAACCAGTATACTAATGAAGAATAGCACAGATAATAGATTGAATGGTATGATGGCATTGCTAATGAACAGGGCCTTCCCTATCTTTGAAACAGTAGTCTTGGTAACTATCAGCTTTTTTTCTTGATGTGTTTCCCAGCCTGCCCAGCTGTCGTATTCAATTGCAAATGATAGAATCCCGTGCCTCTGTCACTTGCTCCGCTAGTGGATGCTACCAGGAGACAGGAAAGCCACAATGAAGTAATTGAGCAAGGTCTGGTGATTAGATAGAAAGCAGCTTGGTTCCTGAGTTTTGTCCGACTGCTGCATTATAAACCTATTGCATTTGGAGACACCGTGCTCACAGCTCCACAATTGTATAAGCTGGTATTGTGAATTTCTGGACCAAACATCTAGTTGTGCCTAATTTCAATCATTTCTTTCAAATTGTTGTTGGCATTTTCAGAGATGAAGGGTTCTAAAAAAGGATAGGAGAACACTGAATTCTGTGGCAGAAATTAAAAGTTTTATGTTAAATTGATTTGCAGTGAATGAGCAGATTTGACTGGCTTCCAGGTAAAGCACTGTGGAGCATGGAGTGCATTATCAGGGGAAGGAACGGAACTAGTCAGATCAGTGTTTCTTCACA